AGGGAGAAAGGGAACAGAGAGAGAGAGAGAGTGTGAGCAGGGCTGGAGAGCAGACCCAGGCAGGGACAGCAGGTCCCAGAGCTGCCCAACAGCTCCCAGCCCAGCAGCACAGGGGACACAATTTGGGCGACACAATGTGGGGGACAGAGGGGCTGTTTCCTGCAGCCTCTGCAGTGGCTGGGGCAGCCGGGCCATGCCAGGGCTGCACAGGGCAGGGCATGCAGCAAGGGCAGCAAGGGGGGAGACGGGGAAGCAGTGAGCCCAGGGCTCCCCACTGGGCTCTGCCAACACACAGAGAGGGTCTCTTACCTGACACAGAGCAACTTGGGAAGCAGGTTGTGGAAAGAAAGAGAGAGAGAGAGAGAGAGAAAGGATTTACCAAGGGAATTTCAAGGGAACAGTATGCCTGTCCCACGTTGCTGGGCCGGTGCACTGCTGACCCCCTGCCCAGACCTGCCGCACTGCCTGCAGAGATGGGATTCATGTGGGGCCCTTACTAGCCAGCCACTAACTCTCTCCTCTTGTGAGACCCCACCTGGAGTACTGTGTCCAGTTTTGGGGCCCCCAACACCAGAAGGAGCAAGCTCAGAGGAGAGTCACAAAGATGAACAGAGGGCTGGAGCACCTCTCCTCTGGAGACAGGCTGAGAGAGTTGGGGTTGTTCACCCTGGAAAAGAGAAGGCTACAGGGAGAAGGCTACAGTGGCCTTCCAATACCTGAAGGGGCTACACAAAAGCTGGAGAGGGACTTTTTACCAGAGCATGGAGTGACAGAACAAGAGGGGAACAGTTTCAAATTGAAAGAGGGTAGATGTAGGTTAGATATTAGGAAGAAATTCTTTATTGCGAGGGTGGTGAGACACTGGAACAAAATGCCCAGAGAAGTTGTGGATGTTCCTTCTCTGGAGGTGTTTAAGGCCAGATTGGATGGAACTCTGAGTAACCTAGACTAGCGGGAGGTGTCCCTGCCCATGCAGGGCGGTTGGAACTAGATGATCTTTAAGGTTCCTTCCGACCCAAACCACTTTATGATTCTATGAAGCACCAGGGCTGGTCCCTGGGGACACTAACAGCCTGGACTCTGCACTGCCCACCCCACCAGTGCTCCCTCTGCAGCCCAGGCGGGCTGACCCCTTGCACTGGTCAAGCTTCCCAGAGACCCTGGGGGCTGAGCCCACTGCCTAGTAGAATCCTGCTGTGCACATCAGCCCTTTGTGACATCAGCTGATGACAGCACGGGTACCATGTCTCAGGCACTACACACCAGCTCTGCGAGGGTGATGGACGGCTTAGACCTGCCCACTGTTTCCATCGGGGACATGTCTTCCAGCAGGAGCGAAAGCCTGGAGGACCTGTGCCCCTGGGTCCCTGACAGCCTGCTCGGTGAGCCCGGAGCTTGCCTGCAGCGGGGGGAGAGGTCCCCTTTGCACCCCCCGGGCACGGCCACTCAGCCTCCTGCAGCACAGCAAGGGCCTGCAGGGAGATGGCTGCAGGAGGGTTTAACTGGGGATATCCTTCTGGGTGGGGGGGGAAGAGGACCAGGAACACCTGTGGCAGTGGGTGCTTTCTAGGGACCTGAGGGGGTCCTGCAGTCGTGCCCCACCTCTGAGCTTCCACCAGGTTCTTCCCAGCAGTAATTCTCAAAGCTGTGGGTGCTGCTCCTGGGAGCACCAGCTCAGCTCCACAGCTGCTGCCCCCAAGCCCATGCAGCTCTCTGTGGTGTGGCTCCTGTGGGCTGCTGGGCAAGCCTTGTGCTGCGCCAGTGACTAGGTGCTCACCAGCTTCCTGTGCCCATCTCTATCCCAGGGCTCCAAGGGGAGAGGGGTGGTACTCTCCGTGCCAGGGGGACGTACTGGGACAGAGCCAGACACCTCTGCATCCCGTGGAGACTGAGAGCAGGGCTCCCCAGCACCACTCCCAACGCCATGGGAGGCTGGGCTCTTGCAGGAACCCGTGGCTCACTGCAGACCTTTCCTCCACAGCCTGCCGCCCCGCACCCCTGACGACCAGCGTGCACACTGACCACTTCTACACTGTCTACCGGCCCTGGTTCTCGCCCTACAGCTACTTCATGTGCACCAAACAACCCCTCCAGAAATACCAGGGGATCTCCGCCCACCTGGCCTTCGGCACCCCGGAGACGAAGGAGCCTGATAACCTTTCAGAGACCATCTGCTCCTCCCCTAACTCGTCGGACAAAGCCCAGCACCCCGAGAGGGAGAGGCAGGCCAGGGATGAAACCAACATCACGGTCCGGGACATCCTCAACGCTTCCCAGCTGCAGCTGGTGAGCCAGCACGGCTACCAGTGCATGTCGTGCTGCCGCATCTTCCCCACGATCTGGTCCATCAGGACTCACATCAAGCACAGCTCCCAGGAGGGCTACAGCTGCAAGGTGTACTACCGCAAGCTCAAGGCCCTGTGCGAGAAGGAGCTCAAGAAGCAGGAGGCTGCAGCCCGCAGGCTGCCCGCGTAGCCCCAGCCAGCGGTGCAGCCGCCACGGGAGGGCACTGCTCCATCGCTCTTGCCAGCAGCTGAATAAATTGGTTTAGATGCAGCCGGACCTGCCTGGTTGCTGCTCTTGGCCTACCCAACACTTCCGCCATCCTTTGAGAGCAGCTCTTCCTGACTTTTCCCTTCCCTGGCAGCCAAGAATCTCCCGAGTCCCTGAAAGCACTGTTTAGCATCTCTGCATCTCCCTGGGGTGCTCTGCAGATGCTGGGAACTCCCCGGCACTCTTGAACTGTCAGGACAGCCCCAGACAAGCCTGTGGTCGGAGGGGAAGGATGAAGCTTCTCCCCTTCCCCGCAACATTTGGGCACCCCACTCTCATGGGCAGCCCACGGCTGGCACCACATGCAAGGGTCCTGCTGGGGAGGATGCTTGGAGGTTGGAGGGGTTCTGCACAAGGCCAAGGGATGCCACCACCAGTGCTGGCTCCGTGTTGAGGGGGAGAAATACAGAAAGAGAGAGAGTCAGTGAGAAGGAAAAGACAACAGAAAGCCTTGAGAAATAGAAAGATTTATTTAGCAAAAGCCAGTCAACTAATGACAACACCCAAGGGTTAAGTGCACTTACATTGACAGATTGGTTTCCCAGATAGATCGAGTCAACAGTTAGTAACATGACAGTTGTAGGAAAAGAAAGGACAAAAAATATAGCTATAAATCTCCAGTCAAGGTCCATAACAAAAGTGAGAGGCTAGAGAGGCATCTTGGAGGCAGCGCTGAGTTAGGAGGAGGATCATTTACACATGTACACCTGCAGTGCAGCAGGACACTGGCAGGGTCCCACCCGGCTCTGGCAGGGTCCCCTTAGCCCGTGGGGCACCTGCCACCATCCACTGTGGGTAGAGTGCCAGGCAGGGGCCTGAGCACACAGCTGGTCCTGACAGCTCCTCACAGGGCACTGCCTGGGCTGTTTGTGTGCAGCAGGGATGGGCAGGAGGGTGCCTGGGGAGATGGCTCAGCTCACATGGAAATCCCTCTCCGAGCTCACCCACACATCCTTACCCTGCCTGCATCACATCCTGTGCATGCTGCCATCCCCACCTCACCCTCCTGGTGGAACCAGCCTCTCACCCATGCTTCCACCTCCAACCACTGCAAGCTGGCAGTGGGATGTTGAGGTCCCCAGCAGAGGGCATGGCACACAGCTGTGCAGGACAGGGCATACAGAAGTACTGGTGGCCAGAGGACAGGAGCACCCAGGTACCCAGCCAGCACTTGCTCCCTGGCTGTGGCTGGGTTCAGGGGCTTCCCTGGACACCTGGCTACTGCTATGGACACTGAAACATGGCTTTCCTTCCCACTAGGACAGTCTAGCTCCTCACAGCACCCAGCCTCCTCCCGGGGCAGAGGGTGAATAGCACAGCTCATACTGACACTGGGGGTCTCACCCACACCTCACTCCTCAGCAGCCCTCAATCCCAAGGAGACTGGGGGAAAATGAAGTGATAGACCCTCCTGAGCAGCAGGGCTAAGTCCTGGAGGACAGCAACAGCTTGTGCCTGGGAGATGCTCAGCTTGGTGTTAGTTGCAGGCAGATCTAGCAGAGAGAGCTGGTAAAAGCAAGAGCAGCGGGAAGCAACAAAGCAAAGCAGAAGCAGGATAGGAGGGTGGATGGGGAGGAAGACAACTGTGTCAGTTCTCACCTCATCCAAGTGTTTCCACAAGGAGCAGGGCAGACTTCAGGACTCTGGCACACACCCCTTCAGCTGTGGCCTCTTAGAGGCTGCAACAGGCAGCTGACACATGTGCTTGCACAGAAAAGACAAGTTTTGGATCCCACGGGTGCATTTAGCCACAGGCAACTCAGGGTCCAGCGGGGGATCCTGACATTGTAAGTTCACTTTTCTGCTGGTTGCAAACCAGATGTGAAGGAGCCCACCAGCAGTTCACTCCCCATCCAGGGGTGGAAAGCATGACTGTCCCTGCACATGGCTGATGCCAGCACTGCATCCCCCTGCCCTGGTCCAGGGACAAGCAACTGCTTGGAAACGGGAGAGTTTGTCTATAAAGCAAAGCAGGGAGTTTGTGCTGCTGGTGGTTGCAGGAAAGTGCTTCAAAACATGACTTAAGAGCACCAGAAAGACTTTGAAACCTGGCAGCCATGCCGAGGAGCCCAAGCACTGGGCAATGAGGGAAGGACATCCCACAGCCCCATGCTGCCTGCCCTGGCTCCCTGCTCCTTGTCGAGCCGTACCCTCCTCTCTGCTCCAAAGCCTGGGAGAGGAGTGTGCAGTGCCCACACACCCCTCCACCTGCCTCAGGCAGGGACAAACCCTGCCCTGCAAGTGCCCCACACACCAGCACTCTGCCAGGAGCTGCCTGCACCCAGCCACCCTGCCTGACCTCACCTCACCCCTTCAGCTCCTTCCCAGGCTCATCCCCACTGCCTTACTGGCACACCCATGCCCAACCACCCCACTAGCACGGCCCTGGCCTCACCTCCCACCCCCTACACCAGGCAGGGAGCCAGACCCCAGCCAGCAGCTCCATTCCTACTCATCACCCCACGCTGGCTCCACAGCTGCTCTCCTCCCCACTCACTGCCCTGTCCCTGCTCTCTCATTCCCCCAGCAGAAACCTCCACCTGCTGGACGGCTCCAGCAGCACCAGCAGCAGTGGCTGATCTGGCAGGGAGTCCCTTGCCTGTGCCCGACCTCCAGGAGCAGCTCGCAGGGGGACAGTGCCTCACACAACAGCTGTCAGCTCACCACCCAGCGTGAAGTGGGGACACTCTAACTCAGCACACAGGCCCATGCACGCTGGAGCAGGGCATGCCCAGCACATCCTCTTGGCATGGCTCTGTCCTCACCTCTGCACACCTCCTGACCACGTGCTGGAAGCCTCCTGCTCCCTCCTCCATCCCCTGGTCCCTCTGGGCTGTCCCATCCCTGCCAGGGCCTGTCCAGCTCCAGCAGGTCCTGGCTGCTCTGCACCACCTCCTGCCCACCCCTACACCGCGATCTCGTCCTCCAGGCTGTCACCCAGGTCCTGCCTGGGCTGGACGTGGAGCAGGCGCGGTGGTTCCTCCTGGGACCAGGAGTCACGCTCCTCGCTCTCGTCCGTGTTGGACTCGTACTCAGAGGCGATGCCCGACTCGCGGAACTTGATGAGCTCCAGGCTGCCCAGCGCCGGCTCTGGGGCAGGCGGCCCCGACTCGGGCAGAAAGCGGTAGCACTCCAGCTTCACCAGACAGTCGTTCCTACCTATGGGGCTGCCCAGGGTGCTGGGGAAGCCCGAGCTGGGGCCCAGCGGTGGCGGGTGGGTGTCCTCGGGCTGCGGAGTGGTCGGGTCGCAGAGGACGGGGAGGATGTTGGAGCGGTAGGTGATCTCCAGCAGACTGTCCTGGGAGCCTGCTGCAAGAGAAGGGCATGGCTGAGAGGCAGACAGTGCTTCCCTGGGCATCCCCCAGCCGCCACAGCTGGCCGCAGATTGGCCAGAGGAGGACAGCCATGTGGTTGTCAACCTCCTCCCACCAACACCTTTTAGAGGGGATCACTCAATGCCCCTGGTGTCAGCAGTTGCTGCTGGCCAGCAAAGTGCCAGTTTTGCAGGATAGAAAAACAACAACTGTCTCACAGGCCAGCTCCTCCGGGAAGCTGATGGTCATGTCTACTAGAGAGGAAGGCCAAGGAGGGGCTCTTGGGCAGGTAAGGAGCTGGCCTAGACCGTGCAGCCTTTGGGGAAAGTGAACATACATGATGGATGTATGAGACTGCTGGTCCATAGAGCCCTCCCCATGCCATCTCCCACGCTGCTTGCAGGAACATTGCTGCACACACACAAGCCAGGCCAGAAGGGCACTAATATTCATTCCCCTACACAAAACCACTGGAAATGCACAAAAACCCCACAAGAAACACCCCCACCCATGAACTCCATAGACCCAGCCAGCTGCGTGGGGAGAGGACAGGGCAGGAGTGCTTACTGTTGGTGTTTCCTGCCAACTTCAGCTCCAGCTCTTGCACCTGTTTGACCAGGAGCGAGATGTGCTGCAGCAAGTCCTTGTTCTGGAGCAGCAGCTGGTGCACACGAGCTTGAGCCTCCAGCCGTGCTGCTGCCTCCGCGGCCAGCTGGTCCTTCAGCAAGTGGACCTGTGTGACAGGGGAGAGCGGGTGAGTCCACAGGACATGCTGCTCAAGGGCTAAGAGCTTTGCCTCCAGCTATCCCTGCTTGTCAACCATGGCTCACCAGCATCCCACCAAGTGACATGATGAAGAAGCCATTCCTTGCAGGTGCCCACACATGTGATGAGGACAGTGGGGGCTGGTGGCAGTGTCACATCAGGGCACCCTGAGCAAATCCAGTGCTTGGTCCCCTGGTCTCTGATAGAGAAGCCCCAGCCCAGACTAAACCATCAGTCACACACGTGTGCCACGAATGCATGAGGAAAGGGCAGACCAGGAGGCAGCCAGATGGGTGTGGAAGAGAAGACACACTTGAGCAACTGGATGGTGCTGTAGGTGCCCAAGGGTGCAGACACGCACCACGAGCCGGCCCTGGCCGAGCTGTCTCTCCAGGCAGGTTTCCCAACAACAGTGTTCTGCACAAGGCAGGATTCTGCCAGCAGAGTCTGTCACTGTGAGGGACTGGAGCATCGGAGCTGCCCCAGAGCTCCAGGCAGCTCCGGCTGTGACAGGCACGACATGCCTGGAGCAACACAGATGGCAAAGTGCTACCGAGGTGGCTCTGGGGACAGGAGCTGGCTGCTCGTTCTGGCCCTGGGAAGCAATGCCTGGATGTTAATTGGTGGGAGTCCATGGGCAAGGAATCCATTGATTTTGGTGTAACTGCCCATACACAAGCATGTATATCAGCAGGGAGGGTGATGCTGCTGGGCAAAAACCAGCCAGAAGCACTTGCCTGAGGGCAGCTCTCTGCTCTGAATTTGGGGAAGGAGAGCCCCAAGAGTGTACTCTGGATGGTCTCTGTAACTATAGACCAAGCACAGATCCTGATCAACACACTCAATCTCCTGGCTTTGTTAGTAAAGGATTAAGCCTGTGCCCATCACCATGTGTTCAGAGACAAACTGACTGGGTACTTTTGAGAGAAGACAACAAGTGCCATTGACTGAGGTGCTTATGTAATGCATTCAGTCATCTGAAAGGCATTTGAAATGATAGGGCCTGACTTTTTCATTAATAAAGTACAATGATACAGAATCACCATGGTGCATGCTGAAGGGATTAGAGAGCAGCTAAGAGACAAAAACCATCCTGAGGTGGGCAGAGGTCCAGGGCAGAGTGTCAGCCCTTGGGGAGATGGGGTTGAGCCCACTGGCTGCCATCCCACAAGGCAGCCAAGAAATGGCATTACACTATTTCAGGTACTTTTTATTTTATCTGGAAGAAAGAAGAGAAAGAAATGGCAGCTGCAAGGCTCTGCAGGTACACAAAGACTGGGAACTACTGCAGCTGAGCAGTCCCTACCACAGAGGGACTCTGCTTTGCCTGGCGAAGCTTTGTCTGTAGCAACACTATACTTGAGCAGACATAAAGCATCCCCTGATGATGCAGGTCCCCCTTCCAGAGGGAAAAGCAGTTTCCCAAGCCCATGACCCCAGAAGGCCTGCAGGCTCTTGGGGCAGCAGTACAGCCAGAGGGACCAATACTGACTTTCTGAGACATGAAGAAGGTGGCCATGGGAAAGCACAGAAGGGCTGCTGGAGCCCATCGTTCAGGCCAGGAAGAAAGTCAAGCAATTGCAGAGAGCACTGGGAAGGGCAGGGAAGAAGTAAAGCTACAGTAATGAGTTGGATAAAGTGGCCAGAACTGCTTAAAGGAGAAATTCCTGCATGGAAACCACGCTGGCAGAGGCTAATGCCAAGGCTGGGCATTTGCAAGAGCACAGGGACCAAGAGGCTGGGGAAAGCTGGTGGCATGCAGACCTAATGCTAACCCATCTGGACTTGACGGAGCCATCACTGGGAGCAAGGACACAGTGAGCCATCCTGGGAAAGCACAACAGAGCAGGCTTTGCTGCAGGAGACAGGAGACTGCCCAGCCTGCCCTCATGTCCCACTGCTGGGACCCCCCTGGCTGAGATCGGGTCCCCTCCCATGCCTGTCCCTCTCCAGACAGCAGATGCTCTGGCACTGAGGGGCTCAGGACTGCACCCCAGTTCTGCCACCACCCCAGGAAAGAACAGAAGGGAGAACCTGGGCCACAGCCACTTGTGTCTGCTGCTGCTGCTGCTGCAGGAGCTGCTGGAGAAGCTGCATTTGGTGGTGGGCAGAGAGGGGTGTTCCCAGGTCAGGCAGCTGGGTGGACGAGGGCAGCAGCATCTTGGGCGAAGCTGTCAAAATATCTTCAGGGTGGAGGCAGCCCTGCAAAACACCAAGGTTGGAAGTGTGATCTTGTGCCCTTCCCCACGCAGAGCCCCCAGGCATACGTGGGCTGCAGCACAGAGCAGCCCCCCCAAAACACCGAGGAAAGAAGTTTCTGCATTCCAGGCAAACACACACTTTGCTGGGGATGCTGAAAAACTTTGAAAACAGTGTTTTCTCAGTTTTGACAAAAGCCCAAACACTGAGGCTGACGCCTCTCACGGGAATTTCCACTGTACCAAAATAATTTTGTATTTTTTATTATTGTGTGTGGAAAAAAATCCCTATCAGCTCTGCCCCAGACACTTTTCCGTGTGGACGCACAGAGCTGAGCCCCAGCACAGCTCTCCCCGGGACGGCCCTGAGCCAAAGGGCACCCCAGCGGCAGCTTTGATCCGGGAGCCCGGGAATGCTGCTGCTCAATCCCTCCCGATCCCTGGGCCCCCGGGATGCAGCTCAGAGCCACAGGGGCCAGGGCTGAGCACAGAGGGCAAGGGACCCACCCACCTTGACATCAGCGTAAGCGCTTTCCTGCTTGTCCACGGCGTCCAGGTCGGTGACGCCGCGGCTGAAGTCCAGGATGTCGGCTCCGGGCAGCGGCAGCTCCACAGCATCGATGTCGGTCTCGTCAGCTGCCGGGGCCGCTCGCTCCGGCCCGGGAAGGCGACAGGCTGTGGGAGCAGGGGCAGGGCAGGGCACAGCCCGCTTGGAGCAAGGAGCCTGCTGCCCTGTACCCGGGGGTTGGGGAGGGGTGCCCACCCGTCCCACCCCCCCCT